GTTTTTTTTTTTTTTTTTTGTTGGAGGGGGGGGGTGCAAAGGCCTACAATATTACCTATACTAAAGGAGGGGTTCCTTATTATAAGTATAGTATAATGGGCCCCAAAACCCTATTCGAATTATGAAGGCCCGATTATATGTTAGATGCGCTTCCGCGGGGCTGCAACGCCGAGCCGACTCCTGGGATCGCGCAGGAGGCAAGGAGTACCATCTTCCGATTGGCTGGAAGCGCTTCGCCGTCCAGGTGAAGGGGGTGTACGACGATGGCCATGCCCTCAGCCGGTGTGGGGGCTGAGAGGGTTGGGGCTTCTGGGCTTTCTGTCTGGAGTGTTCTCTGGAGGGTCATACAACTACCAAAAACACGACCGCTACCGCTAGCCCTACCACGACCACTACAGCTACCTCTGACACTGCTACTGCCACTGCCACTGCGACGACGAACCCGCTATAATGTGGTGTTGTTACTCCTGTTGCCACCACGTCGGCAAATGATTGCTGCGGCCATGTGACTACGACTAAAACCACCACCACCACCACCACCACCACCACCACTGGTACTGTCACTGCTTTTGGCTATTCCTGTTTGTTTAGTTGTTTCTATCTCGTTGTTTCTATCTAACTACTTTGTCCGGTTGCTAATGATCGCCAGGCGACAACAAGTGGCTCCGGGAGGACGAGAATGGCTGGGCAGTGGCCTACCATGGCACTTCGAAAGAAGGCCCCAAGCAATGCACAGCATCGGCACACACCCACGGGGCTTAACATGTTCAGGGTCCCGTGCTCCAGAGCTTTCGGGTATCAGGTAGGTTGTGCAGACCTTCACTCTTGCCCTAATGTGCTCGGCAAAGACTCCTGCTCGAGATCGCATCCCTTGTGTACAAAGCCCACCAAGCATGAAACAAACCCACTTTAAACCCCTCTGTAAACGCTTCCGAACTTCTGAACCCTAAGAATCCTTGCAAAAAGGACACCAAGCCAAGGAGCTACACAATCCCCCCGTCAGAAACCCAGTAAGACAGCATAAAGCCATGATGGAACCCGGAACCCTTGTATACAAACCCATTCCACGATCCTTATCAAGCCATCATGTAGGACCATCTAGAGCAGCCTCTTAATAGCCTAAACCCTAAACCCCAAACCCTAACAGCCTAAACCCTAAACCCTAAACTCCTGTCAGCCTAAACCCTGAACTCTAAACTTCAGATTGAAAAACCCTAAGCCAAGCCCTGAATTCCAAACCCTAGCACCTGAACTCCTTAATGTAGGGGCCTTATTAATTACCTAAACTCTTTTGGCGGTTCCTCATTATAACTATAGTCTACTGGGCCCCAAAACCCTATTCTAATTGTTAACGCCCCTGTTTCAAAACCCTACTCGAATTACTAAGGTCCCTTTTTCAAAACACGATTCTAATTATTAAGGCCCCTGTTTCAAAACCCGATTCTAATTATTAAGGCCCCTTTTTTGAGCCACCCTAAACCCTAAACCCTAAACACTTTTTTCCCCTTGAAAGGCCTCCCTGGAATCCTGTGCACCGGCGCGGTGCCAAGAAGACCGGGGGTTGCGTTTAGGGTTTAGGGCTTAGGGCTTAGGGTTTAGGGTTTAGGGTTTAGGGCGTCTTGCTGCGCAGTAGCCGATAGTCCATGCTAAGATGGCGC